CCACAGCATCAACTGGATCCACAAGCCTGTTTTCTGCAGGTATTCCCTTTGGGATTGAGGCTCTTCCACAACCCCAACCCCTCCATCCTGCCCTTCCCGTCCCAGGATGAGCCATTCCAGCCCCAGCCCTGTCCATCCATGGGATCAGCAGCATTCCCAACCACCAGGTGAGCCACTGGACATGGGATCCAGGGACAGGGAGCCGAGAATTATCCCCAGGGGGGTGGGATGGGATCCAACTGGGACAAGGAGCAAAGTGTTCCCGCTTCTCCAAATCCATCCTGCCCGGCCAGGAAAACCACAACCACGGGATTTATCCCTTTGGAATGAGGCTGTGCCTGCCCTGCTCCCTTCCCAGTCCAAGATTCCTGGCTCCCTGAGGAGGGGACACGGAACTGGAGCACCCCAAAGTCCAGAGCCCCAAACCTGCTCCTGTCATTCCCAAATCCCATGAATTACTGAATTAGGGATGTGGTTCCCGACCTTGGCAGTGGCTCCATCCGGCACAGCCCGATCTCAGGAGCCTCCAGAGCAGGGACAAGGGGACACCAAGGGGACACTGGAGCTGCTTCCCTGGCCCCTGTCCAGCTCCACGTGTCCAAGTGGGACACGTGTGATCCCCCCATGGCACCTTCCAGCCAGGAATTCTACTTTTCCCAAGGAAAAACAAGCCTTTCCTGAAGTGAAATGAGCAGGGAAAACCAGGAGTCGACTGAAACCCCGGGAGGTGACTCAGCCCATGAGGAAAAAGGGATTCTCTGCATGGATTTCACCTGTTCATGGATTCCTGGGATCATTTTAGGGCCTGTGTGAGGCTCATTCCCACCTGTCCAGCCAAAAATGTTGGATGTGGAAGAGGGGAGGGAAATTCCTGCCTGCCAAGAGCTCCCAGAATTCCAGCCAAGATCCCACTGGGGGCTTTGCTGCTCCCAGAATTAGGCTGGAGATGGAAAGGAAATAAATGGAATGAGGAGAAAGGAAAAACAAAGAGGAAGAATCCCAGGGAACGTTCCCGTGCCTGGGAAAAGGCTCAGGAAGAGGATTTGGAATCCTCAAATCCAGTTGAGGAGGCTCAAGACCTGACCTTGAGCAAGGAAATCCCACCTGGTTTTAATACCAGGACTAAACCCAGCCCTGCTGAGCCACTGGAAAACTCCCCAGGGTTTATCCCCAATCCCAAAGGCTCCTTTCTGGGGAATGAAATTGGGATTTGGGGCTTTTTCCCAGCTGGGAATCTCCCTAAAATCTCCCGGGGTTCCAGGAGAGGAGGGGATTCCTCATTAACTCCAGGGTTAACTAAGACTTAAATTAGGTGCTTCTCAAACTCTGGGTGATGAATCCCTGTGGGATGAGGAACTTGGAGGTGGAATTTTGGATCCCAAGATTCCCATAAAGGGTTAATTACCCCCTGCTGAGTCATGGGGTAATTAAGGGAATTAATTCCTAAGGAAGCCTCCAGATTCCAAGGACACTCCAAGAGCTGCTGGTTGGGGGGAGGCCCTTCTACCTCCATCCTGTGGGATTTGGGTGTCTCACCCCCCCTTTGAGCACAGGGATGGGTTTGGAGGGTCCCCAGCAACGGAGTGGGGAACTCCTTTTTCCATGGGGAGAATTCCCAATGACACCACCCCCAGGCAGCATCCCAAAGTTTGGGGAGGTGGAGGGGACACCCCAACAACCCCCTCAAGAATTTTGGGGAGGGATTTGGGGGGACAGGGGGGCACCCCGAGATCAGAATTGGGGCACTCCAAGGTCCGAATTGGGGGATACCCCAGAGAGAGAGGATTTAGGGAACAGTGGCCCCCCAAAAAGGAAGGGGGCACCTTCCAGGGCAAATTTTGGCAGGGCACTCCCAAATTTAGGGGGGCACCCCCAGATCAACACAGGATGAGCACTCCCATCCCAGGAAATCGGGGGGAACCCTGAGGATTTGGGGGTACTCAGGATCTAAGGAAGGGGAGAGGGCGCTGGGGGACCTGGAGGCCCCAGTGGAGGCAGGGGTGGGTGTCCCGGTCCTGGGTGTCCCACGGTGGGGATATCCCGGGGACTTGGGGGTCCCGTTCCCAGTGTCCCAACCCCAGGGCCCCGTTCCCGAGGGTGCCCCATTCCCAATGTTCCCGTTCCCGGTGACCCCATCCCGAGGGTGTCCCATTCCTCGTCCCCGGTGTCCTGGTGCCCTGTTCCCCGTATCCCGTTCCCGGTGTCTCCCCGCTCACGCACCGCCGCAGCTCCTCCTCCTCGATGCGCCGCCCGTCCCACACGAACACCCCGGCGAGCGCGGCCATCAGGCGCCCGGGGCCGGTGAGGGCGGGGCGGCCGCGGAGCGCTCCCCGCCACCACCCCCCCCAGCCCGATCCTGATCCTGATGATCCTCCTCCTCCTCCTCCTCCTCCTCCCTCC